ATAAGAAACTATAAAAAGGTGGATCACTTATAAGTTGAGGAAGGGCAGACAATTCAATGTCTTATAAACACCCCGAATAGATGAAGATTAGTATCATTAAAGAACCGTACATAACAAATTTCCGGTTTTAACATGCACGTTTATTTTGGTTGTGATAAATAAGAAGAAGTGTTCGTTATGTTTTATCTTTAAGTCTACACGTTAATGTATTTTCCCAAGGAAACACAATTTTCCTCACCTGCGACAACAATCGTTGTGTCCAGCGTCAACAGTCGTTAAAACTTGTGATAATGTCACACAGGCGAGAAAAATCTTTGTGTTAGCACTGTAGTCTTATTTTCGCCTTTTTTTTTGTAATGTCAAATTATACTTCAAATAAACATGAACTGCTTTAAAACTGCCTTGTCTGTACAAGGAATTATCTTCTTAGCATAGAAGACTGTTAGAAAATTGAACCTTATTTTTTTTAATTTGTTCTTATGTTGTACTGTTACACCACTGTCCCAAGTAAGGGGGATAATTTGGCGCCAGCAAACGTGTTTAATCCCACCGCATTCTTTATGTTTCTGTCCCAATTAAGCCAGGAGCCTGTAGTTCAGTGGTTGTCGTTGGTTCATGTCTATCATATTTGTTTTTGTTAATTGTTTTGTTATGAATTAGGCCGCTGGTTTTCTGATTTGAATTGTTTTACGTCGGAGCATTTTATAGCCGACTATGCGGTATGTTTTTTTTTCCATTGTTGAAGGCCGTACGGTTGCATATAATTGCTTCCATCCACCTCAGTTGAACTTTGGTAGATAATTGTCTTATTGGCAATCATAACACATCTCCTTATTTTTACATTGCTTAGATTTCGGATCTTAGAGGGAATATTCCAATACAAAAAGCTGAGGGTAACACAGCTATAATTTTTTTCTTTTCAAGTGTAAGTATGAATCAAGTTGTTTGAACAAAATCTTCATTTTTCAGGATTGCCTGATAGACTTATGATTAATACTCCATTATACACCTGTCAGTTAAATGGAATGTGCAATGGAACGTAACTTAGGTCGTGATAGTGACTTTAACTGGTTGTTTCTGTAATAGTTATCCCATGATGATGCGGTGTGTCAGTGTAAGATCACCCCGATGACCGAAGGCCAGAGGGTGATCTTACACTGACACGCCAAGTCCGAGTGGGATAACTATTTTACATCCCAGCTCTTCTAGACTATATGAAAAAAAGATTTACGCTTCATAACATCTAGTTCAGAATGCCATACAATAATTATAATATACTTTATATTTTACTATATAGTATATACCCTTGATGAGCCCAGGATACAATGTTTAAATATGTTAAATCAACAGTGAGTTCGTATCCAGTCGTCCTGGTGTAGGGGTATGAATCGTTGCTTTACATGCTTAAGGTCTTGAGTTCGATTCCCCGCATAGACACTGGAAATTTAGTGGATTTTTTCTACATAAATTTTGAAAGTTAGTCTTTATTCCGAATTAATATTTCTAAGTTTTATTGTGTGCTCAACATTCTCGCCAAAATGTTACAGAACAAAAGAAAGCATGCAAAACAAAGAAACGCAAGGTAGGGCGACTCAGATCACTCCTGTTAGAACAAAGGAGTTGGGATGTAATGTAATTTCTTTTGTTATATTTTGCTAAAACTTATCACACTTTATCTTCTTGATTGATAAAATATAAATTCCATTATTTTTCCTTTTCGGGTATACAATAGTTGTTAAATATAACAGGTTTATAATTGTGTACTCCAGATGCGCGTTTCATCTACACAAGACTCGTCAGTGACATTCAAATCAAAAAAGTTAAAAGACCAAATAAAGTACGAGGTTAAAAAGCATTGATTACCAAAAATTCAAAAAGGTTTTGCCAACTACAGCTAGTGCGGTGGTAGAAAATCCTTAGTATTTCGAACTATTGTATGTTTTGTAAACAGTTAATTTATTAATATTATCATATCAATAATAATAACATATATATATCAGCCTTTGTTTTCCAGAAATAGGTTACTTAAATGTCAAAAGCACTTCGGAGGGCTCAACTTTAAGAGAAAAGATAGAATTGATTCCCAATTTGTCATGCCTTTCAAGCCGACTGTGAAGGTAAGGATTTGCTCGTCGTTGAAGGCCGTACGGTGACCTATAAGTTGCTTAAATCCGCTTCATTTGGAATCTGTTGAATAGTTGTCTCATTGACAAACATGCCACTTCTCCTTATTTAATACAAGAAATGGATCTATTTTATAAAAAGTAAAACTTATCAAAATGACTCGGTGGGAATTGAAAAATTAAAGTATCGTAACGTAGGAAATGGCTGCCAGATAAACGCTAACACGATATACAACTTAATATTAAATATTATAACGTTTCAGACTACATGAATATCAAATAATTCCTTAATACTGATGCTGAATAATATGTAACTAAAAATTCCATTCTCATTAGGAATGATAAAAATATTTTCAGACAGAACTCATGTGCACGATACAACTCAAAATTATAAAGTTTAAACCAATAGCAAATCATTCCTCAATATAAAAGCTATGTGCCAACATAACAGACGGACGAACAGACACACGAGCGGATAATGTCACGTCATTGCACAATAAAACTTTGTGTAGCAAAAATATTGCAGAAAAATCTTATTAAAATAATGTGTTCTGCTTTATACTCTGTACTTCATGTATAAGGATTTGAGAGATAAAATTCACATGAAAAGTCGACCCCATAAGTCTGATTTATTTGATTTTAATAAACGCATGCAGTCAAAAAGTAAAATCACAAAAATACTAAACTCCGAGGAAAATTCAAAACGGAAAGTCCCTAATAGTAATAAAATGGCAAAATCAAATGATAAAACACATCAAACGAATGGACAACAACTGTTATATTCCTGACTTGGTACAGGCATTTTCAAATGTAGAAAATGGTGGATTGAATCTGGTTTTATAGCGCTAAACCTCTCAAAACTAAGTCCGTGCCAAGACCAAGTGGCAAAAAGTGCCAAACGTTGAAGATATGTTTGTTGGAAGGGAGAGTGTTTTTTTTCACTGTAAAGACATATTAATATGTGGCTATCAAATAAAATGAAAGTGACCTCTAGATTTGTTTAATGTGTCATCGGACCAAAAGGAGTTTTTGATAACAATAATAATAATTATGAATAAATTAATATAAAGAATTTTCAATTTGTGAAAGGTTAGAAATTACTAGTATTTCGGAATTTTTGGCCCACAATGCTCTGAAACTTCGTTCTTTATGTGGCCTTTTAACTTTTTGTATTCGACCTCACTGATGAGTGTTTTGTAGACGGAACGCGGTCTTCGGTAAAAAAACAATTATAAGCCTGGTATATTTGATGAGTTTTGTTAATAAAACTTTGCGATATCTTTGTATCACTTAAAACGTTTTTAACATGACCTAACAGTGGCCGTGTCCTTGTTTCACCTTTGACTCTCTCCCGTACGAAATATTTAGCAGGATTCCTACCAGACTTTATATAGCAGGAATTCACACGGAATTAGCCGGAAATTTTAAATTCCTGTAACTTTTTAGACGTACTAGGAAAAACTTCAATTTTTCTGACAGGATTTTTCATTTTCCTACAACATTCCTGGTTTGGGCAACAGGAATATTTTTTCCTGACAGAAAATCTTTCTACCAGGAATGTTTTCTTATTTAAGCAGGATTATTATCTTGACCGCCATTGATTTGTATTCAATTATCTTTAACTGGATCCCGGTTTGCTTATAACATTTATTTTGCTGTGTAATAAGAGACCAGGTTCCAGTTAACAAATTCAAAAGTTGGAGGGTAAAAGATTCAGATTATATATAAACAATGCTGCAAAGATTGAATAATTACCATGAGGGAAATATTTGAATGTAAGACAGGATTGCTTATGAAGGTATTTAAATTTAAGCTACACTTCTTCATGTTTTAGAGGAAGTTTTTAATTTCTAATTTGCATGATACTTGATAGTCAAATTAAATCAACTTATCAAAAATGGAAACCTAAGTCTTCAATCATATTTTGTCTAATTTATATTATAAGTTCATCTGATCTACATTTTTGTTGTAAACATATATACCAATACTTTTTAAAAAAAATAATTCGAGAGTGAACAAAAAAACTGATACATCTATTTCATCATAATTAAATTCAAAAACACATTACAAACCTGGTTTATAACACAACTTTCATATGTGGTAGCTACTTCAAAAATTTAAGTGTCAAATTTTGTAACAAGAATTTTTAACATGTGTTTTCTTTGTTCTTTGTGGCTAAGATTCAAACTAATGAATGACCCAGTTGTGTATATGTTTATACACCTAAGTTTGTAATGTATATTTTTAGATTCCTGCTAGAAAATCAATTTTCCTGGTAGGAATTTATGAAAAAAATTCTACCAGGAATATTCAAATTAGCAGGAAAATTTGTAGGAATTTTACTTTCCTACCAAATTATTCCTGCTAATTTGAATATTCCTGGTAGGAATCACATTATTCCTACTAAGAAAATCCTGCTAATTTAAATTTTTCGGCTTTTTTTCCTGGCGGATTCCTGCTACAATCAAGCAGGAATATGCACACTTTCCTGGTAGGAATTCTTAACAAATTCCTTCTAGATTCCTTGTACATTCCTGTAGGACCAGTTCGAACAGGCTAATCTTACACCCTTCTTCCGTTTCCCCTAAACAAGGATGTTTAATAGTTTACTTGAAGGAGAAAATAATTCCATACACTCAAACCTGATTCTTTTCGCACCTATTTAAATAACTCAATACCATTAGACCATTAAACTGGTATTTAAAAATTGAATTTTTACATTTGATTATTTGTAATTCACATGGACAAATACAATTGTCACTCTCTATTGACCTTTATCAGTTGACAAGTACTTCGACAGTACAGTTGTGTAAGGTTTAAATGTGTAATCGATTTTTCGTAGGTTTAAAAATAAATTGAAATAGACTATATAAAGGGTATACCGGTATCCAAGATAAACTTATCCTACGACTTACTCGATCTCTGTATTTATTATAAACTACAATGTGACTCCGAATAGATATAAACATTGGCCACGTTATTTTATTTCCTGGTAGAGTAGGATTCGTTCAACAGAAGAAACTTAAACCAGAACAGTTCGTTTACGTTAAAAAGGGATCGAATGACAATCGAAACAGTACGAACTGAAGTTTTTTGTTTCATGTTTATGTGACATATGTTACGGTATAACAACCGGATCTGTTGTTTGAACAGGAAAATTTAAAGTGACTTGCAAGATGGATAATCAAATAAAGTTGGTTACTAAATTTATGAAATTAAAACGTGAAGCAAAACGAAAAGGTATATCAGATGAAGAAGTCTTTAAGATTTTTAAAGAAGAAAAAGATTTAAATCAAAACGAACAAAAAAGCAAAGTTAACGAAAGAAGTAAAAAGCGCAATCTAACACTGATTTTCTTAGCAGGAGTACTTCCTATTATATTCGGAGTTTTGTTTATGACCTACAACCAGAGGGAGGATTTTGTCCATACAATTAGAGAAGCAAGATGTGCAGTAGACAATTCTGGGTTGTTAATAGAAGTTGCAAGACCTCTTACTAACTGTGAAATGTGCCGAAATTTATACCAAGTGCCTATTGAATATGAAATTTCTGTAGATGATTTCTCAAAAAAATACGCATATACCGCAGTCCCGGTGCTAATAAAAGATGCAACGAAAAACTGGACCGCCATGAACACTTTCAGTTATGACTTTTTAAAAGAACTGTATGTGAACACTTCTGATGCGTTTGAAGTTACCGAAGAAGAATGTCAGTTTTTTCCTTATAAGACAGATTTTGAAACCTTAGAAGAAGCCTTCAATATGACTGATGACAGAGCTCACTTTAAAGAAGGGGAAGAAACTTGGTACTTTGGGTGGTAAGTGTTTAAATTACATTATATTAATATTTATTTGCCTAGTTCATTATTTAGTGTAAACATATTTTAATAAAGAACTCGTTATGTATAGCTACAAGAGTAAATAAATACGAAATATTCAAGTAATTTTAAAAATTGGGATTAGTCAACAAAAGCAGTGCTCTTATTACCTTAGCTGTATTGCCAAATCTGTATATATTTGGCAAAACCTTTCGAAATTTTGGGTCATCAATGCTCTTCATCTTTGTACTTTATTTAGCCTTTTACTTTTTTGGTTAATTATGATGAGTTTAATTATATAAATCTATCTCCCTACTAGTTCCCTAGTTCATTATTTGATTTGAGACTGGTTTCTATATGTAGTCATGTTCATAGCATATATGTCTGCAAATTCTTTTTTTATTTCCCATTGGTTGAGGCTTGGCTTTGTGTATATTTTGTCAACAGCATTCAAAAAAGAGGGACGAAAGATACCAGAGGGACAGTCAAACTCATAGATCGAAAACAAACTGACAACGCCATGGCCAAAAATAAAAAGACAAACAGACAAATAATAGTACAGATGACACAACATAGAAAACTAAAGACTAAGCAACACGAACCCCACCAAAAAATGGGGGTGATATCAGGTGCAATTCAAGCTGCAATTTGTTTTAAAACAATTGTATAGTGAACATTTTTATCATTAAACATATTTGAAAAGATAATAGTATTAACATTTTTTTTGTAATCATATATTTATAGTTTTATTTATACCAGTAAACACACGATCGAATTTTTATTGCATTGTTCCGAGTATTTGTATTTCTGTATTCAAGTTCTAAATTCGGTAACATATATGCAAACTTTATACTGTAACAGTTTATTTTAATAGGATGAAAGTTGGTCTGGAAAAAGTTGTTGATTACATTCTTCCTATCGAAGCTATAATTCTTTGTAAATTCATTAAATTTCACAATTAAAGATTCTTGAAACATCAATAATATCCTTTCTTTCATTTTATGATATAAAGTCGATAAATCGGAGGTGAATAACTAAGTAATGCCATGGTGTATCTGTAACACAGATTAAAACGTTTTTCTATGGATATACCTTACTTAATAACAAACAGGGTAAAAAGTTTCGAAAGGCAACTATTTTTTAGTGCATGCATGTTAAAGCTACATAGTAGATAACACACTAAATTCCTCCAACGCCAACGTTGCAACCCTTTTTTTTAAAAGGTAGAAGTCTCTTAAAAACGTATTATCTGAAATTTTTATCAAACTTTATGTATTAAATCTTAACCATTTCCAAAACACAGACTATAAACAGATTGATTATACCCGTGGTGAAGGTGTAGTACCAGAAATAATTATTCCTTGAAAACAATCAAAAATTGAAAAAGGGATAAGACTCATGAGATCGTGAATAAGCTACACAGCCCCACCTAACCAAGGTAAAAGGTAAAAGAACATTCATTGTTGAAGGCCTTACGGTTACCAATAGTTGTTAACCTCTATGTCATTTGGTCTATGGTGGAGAGTTGTCTCATTGGCAATCATACCACTTACATTCCAGCTCCTTTGTTCTACCAGGGGTGATCTGAGCCGGATCATCCCTACCAGATCACCCCAGCTTGAGTTTCTTTGTTTTGCATGCTTTCCTTTGGTTTGAAACATTTTGGCGGGAATGCCTAGTCCACAATAAAACTTAGAAATATTTATTGAGAATAGACACACTTTCAAAATTTATGTAGAAAAAATCCATTGTCTATGCTGGGATTCGTACTCAAGACCTTTGGCATATCAACTGACGACACATACCCCTACACCAGGACGACTGGATACCAACTCTCAGTAATTTAACATATTTAAAGGAAGCAATATATTTTCATAAGTGGGGCGAGTTAGCAGACCTTTATTCAGTGGGATCGATTTTAACCCTTTTCATATATAAGGCGAGTTGTCAGACTGATTGTTCAATGGGATTTTATCCTTTTTCATTTTTATATGGTTTCATATTTAAACATCGTGTTCGGGGGTCATACAGGGTATATATTATATAGTAGTATATAAAGTATATTATAATGGTTGTGTGGCGTTCTAAACTAGATTTTACGAATTGTAAATGGTTTTTCGTCTAATCTAAAACAGCTGGGATGTAAAATAGTTATCCCATTCGGACTTGGTGTGTCAGTGTTAGATCACGCTCTGGCCTCCGGCCATCGGGGTGATCTTACACTGACACACCAAGTCCGAATGGGATAACTTTTACATATAATGCACATATAAAGCACCGACCTAAGATTATAATTGAACACTATTTTAAGTCACGTGTCAACTGATAAATAGACCGTTTATCTTATACTGTATGCATAAATCCAAACTCCTTCTGGTACCTCTGTAAACATTTCAACAAACGAATAATTGCATATAAGAAAAAAAAACCTGAAAATAGATTGAAAAGAATTTTCTTTTTATCGTTTGAGGTTCGAGGCAAAAATAGTCAATTCACTTCCTTTCACACAATCGTCCTTAACTGTTGAAAGAAAAAAAATACAACTAAAAAAATAGAAAAAATTGAATCGATATCGACATGTAATATTCATTGTATATTGAGATTAATTTCATGTATACTATTTTCGTTCAAAATATTGTATTGAAAACACGTCTGATTTTTCACAATTACACATGTTGTTATTCAGTCTTAGCTAGTCTTACATACACATACACCTGTTACGGTCTCGTTTCATCATTTTTAACATGAATATACACTTTACAGATTGTTGTTTGTGTTTATTTTGACAGACTTGACTCGGAGAAGGTAATAGGTTGAAAACGACGTGGTTTTATCCGAAGCGGGTTCCGCATGGCAGTATGACAGAACCACTAAATTATGAAAAAAATATATATAAATTAAAGATGATAGATATCATTACGAAAATAAGAAAAAGTGGGATGAATGCTATTGAGACAACTCTCCACCATCAATTACAATTCTATATAGTTTCATTTTTAGATGTAGGTAAATCTAGCATATAATATATATAAATTTAAAGATGATAGATATCATTACAAAAAAAAAATAAAATAAGAAAACGTGGTATGAATGCCATTGAGACAACCCTCCACCATTAGTTACAATTTTATATAGTTTTATTTTTCGATGTAGGTAAATCTAGCATATAATCGGGGCGCGGTGTCAAAAACAGGACATTTTGGGTCAGTTACTCAGTCTCTGTTTTGCGTATTGTAATAGAAAAACAAATGATATAGGGTATTCATCCATGACACAAAATCAATACATGCACAGAAAAAAAAACCACACACAAAAAGCAAAGAAACAGCGCTTTTATTGCTGTTCTTCATCTCAAAGTGACAGTGTAAGTCCACTATGGTTCGTATAGAAGTCCTAGTTTCGGGATTAACCGTGCTTTATTTTACAAATTTTTATAAATATTTTCAACTTATAAGTTCGTCGGCCATTCAAAACATTAGGTTGCTTTCCTCAGGTAAATTTAACCTTATATGGTATGATTTCTCTTAGGCACCTTGGGGCCTCGGTGGTCGAGTGGTCTAAATAGTTTCTACTGTAATCACTAGCCAGTCAACACTGAGGTTGTGAGTTCGAACCCCGCTCGTGCGGGTGCACTCGACTCCAATCTTAATTGACTTGGATTGTCAGTTTTCCTATCGAAGGTCGGTGGTTTTCTCCGTGCACTCCGGCTTCCTCCACCAATAAAAACTGGCCGCCACGAAATAGCCCAAAAGCGGTGCTGAAAAGTGGCATTAAAACACCAAAAATCAAATCAAATCTTAGGCACCTTCACTATATAGATTTAAATGTTCATGTATTTACCCATCTCTGGCTGTCCCTACACTCTTGATGGTTGTTAATCAAGAGAGACGCATCAAACGCGGGAAAGAACATTTTATAATTGATTTGTGAATGAAAAATTTTGAAACATACCCACAAAGCATCTCTTACATTTTTAAAAGATAAAATAGATTGCATCCAATCATTGAAAACAAGTATGACAAAAAAAACTGATACGATCTCTAACATATAAGAGAATAAAAAAAGGCTACAATTTTGATTTCCCTATTCAAAAAATTGCGAATAGAACGTTATGAGTGACAAAAGATGTAAGCCTTTGGTGACTGACAATTTAACAAACAAAAACTTTAATCGTTCAGTAGTATGCATGTATTATTTAAAATTTTCAATCTTGTTCTTTTTAGGAGTAACTGTCATCCTGATATATCAACAATTTTGCGGAAACATTACAACAGACCGTACTTTTTACCAAATGATTCCGAATCCAGTTCTTTAGATTGGATATTTATGGGAGGATCTGGTCTTGGTGCTTTTGTTCATGTAAGTTTTGCTCTACCTAAATTGTGTAATTTTAGCACACTATTTTAGTATGTAAATATTAAAATGTAAAAAATATTTACAATGCGATACGTAATATTTCGCTAGAAAAACTAGCTTCATCGAGCGTGCATCTATCCAGGTGAAATCGGATGCAGATAAGAAACTTTTGCAGCTCATTAAACATTAAATTTTGCTGCCTAATATATCTAAATAAATTCAAAATTTGGATAAAGTTCAAGATTATTTATTTAATAACGAAATATGTTGTTGAAGTATGGTACGTCCATTGGCCAATGTTACAGAGATATTAAGGACGGTGCTACATACTAAATTATTCTTTATCTTTCCTGTATCTTTTTTATGTTGACCATCAGGTTCTAAAGTACTGAGCTGGTGGATCAAAAAGTGTTCTCTTCTTCTTCTCGCCGTGGTGTCCCACTCAGTGTCCACTTCTTTAATTTGAAAAGTAACATCAAAAGTAATAAGTAACAATATATATGATTATGTACATATATATTTAAGTGTCCCCTTATTTAATTCAATTGACTTAGGCCGAAAAAAAAAATCTGTGTTTCCGGTAACCCGACCGACCCTGTTTTTTTAGCCCCGACCCTAATTTTTTTATTGGATCTTCAAAAAAAAAAACAAAAAAATTGGTATCAACCGACCCTGTTTTTGACACAGGCTTCTGTTAATCGACATAGTTATTTATCTAACTGCACAGAAAGCCAGTAAAACATTTTATTTATGTCAAAAGGTATTCCAAATAGGTTAAAATCCAAGAAATTTGCACAGCAGGTGCTTCAAAACATTGCAAATGGCCGCACTTCCGGTATTTGAAACTAATTACGGACACGGACTTGGAAAAACCATGATAATTTTCCGGATTTCGTTTACAATGTCAAAAAAAAAAAAAAAAAAAAAAAAAAATCCGACCTTCCGACCCTATTTAACAAAATGATGTTACCGGAAACACAGATATTTTTTTTTAGGCCTTACTGTGCAAATTATAGTTGTAACACAATGTAGGCTAGAACATTATCTAACTACATAAAAGACAAATGATTCCCTTAAATCATTAATGGTGTTTGTTTTGCTCAAGCGTTGGTTTTCTGGTCGGAGTGTTTTGACATGTTTTGTGTCTCATCGTAATTGTGTTGTCGTTCTTTCTTTTTTCCTTTCTTTGAAATATGGTTTTTATTGCCTTTTGCAATCTTCTTTACATTTTCATTAACAGTTTCATCACATAAAAAAATAATAAAACCCATCGACACAAAATTTACATTTACAAAACACTACAGGACTTAGTACGCAATGTCATCAATTCTCTAGTTTGACCAGCTAACATTGTCTAAATCTAAGGGAACCCATGTGTCCGGATGTAATGATTGCGGAACACTTTTTTCACAGCTCGAACGTAAAAATTTCAGCTCGGCGGATCAAATGTAATTCAGCTGGACTCATTCATCGTTTCCAAGGAATTGTATAGTTAAATATACAATTCATTGATTGTTTCCGTAGCGGCTATTAAGAATTATTTCGGATATGTTCTATGTACACATAGAATTTTTCAATGAAATTGTTCATGCTATTTGACGGTCATTCCGAATATGGCAGCCAATAGATAATTTTTGAATCAATTCGGAATGGAAAATAATACCTAGATATGTTTCAATTTTTATTAAATCATTTATATGATGAAAACAATTCATGTTTGTTTACATGTTTTAAGTTATATTGAAATGTTGAAGAGCGTCTATTGCAGTTTTGTAAAAACGGTGATATTTCAATATCTGATTTTCTCAGATACTGATCATAAAGATGAACCATTTTGAAAAACAATTTCATTTTTGTAAAAATTTGTCTTTATAATTTGATAAATTAGATTATCTATTGAACTTGCATGTGTTTTCTTGATAAGATTTCCTTCACGATCCTATACCAGATCTTTCACGATCATATCACAAAACTTGACCACCGTTACTTATTCTTTCACGATAATTTTCTCGATATACCGAATATCAGCCGTGGTATGGTGAATAAAAAAATTACAGAAGTGAACATTCACAAACTTAAGTGAATATTATTCCAGATGTAACTGAAACATGTATCCTGCGGGCAAATAATAATCTTTTTCGAAACACGAAATCTTAAAAAAAGCTAGTACATGTATCATGTGGATATTTAATAACCTACCAAGAACACAGACGATGTAAAATCTAGGAGAGAAAAAGAAAGATTAAATTCCACCAGGTCTCCCACCTTATGAGTAGGCGAAAGCAATTCATTCACCACCAGAATTCATACTCGTCAAGACCGAAAATATACTATACGATGGCGATCACGTGCCCGTGTGACAATTTGTGCATGAAATTTTGAAACATTCATAACATTATATTTACTTAATAAATTATTATTTTATTTCAAAATCGACTTCGTTATATAGTATGTCTAGTTTTTGTACTGAACCCAATATAGAGCCTTGATGGCATTCGCGTTTTTTTATGTTGGGCATCACCGAAAACGTCGAGGACAGTCGTTAGTGGGGACAAACACACTAAACTTTAACAATCTTACAATAAATCCTGTATAAGTCGAACTCATAACTCTGATTCGTTCTAATTGCAAAGATAATCTGACAAAATATACAGAAATACTTATTTGTATTCCCACATCCTAAGTTACTTAGTGACTTAAGACAACCAGGCTTCCGTTTGGTGTTAAAAGTATTAATGTGTATGTAGTTATTTTTTTTATTGTAGTTTTCATGGTCAAAGGATATCTCATTTAAATATCACTGAAACAAATACGTAATTGTACAAATTTTTATTAGGTTAAAGAATTATTTTATACTACATGCATTACTTCATACCAAATAGAGGTTGCCAACGCGAATTATACATTTCTAAGTTTCTTGGTCTTCTTTATCCTAAAACAAAAGGTTTAATAGAAGCCTCCTCCAATCATGTACTTAAATGGTACAACTGTACTCTAATTAACCAATCATTCCTATAACTAAACATTTATTCGCGTTCATTCTTGGTCGTTTATGCCGCTGGTTATAGCTGCTGTAACTAGGATTGTCAATAAAAAGGACAATCACTGCGATATAAAGCAGTCATGGATGAATTTAGTTACTAAAAATACACCGATTAGTAATGCTACTTTTATAATCTATATTAAGTAGCATGTTCACTTTGAAACTTAGTACGAAAGCAATAGAAATAGTCGCATCAACGTTTAAATCAATTTTATATTTTGTTATCTTGGAAGCTTTTAGGAAAACACGTGTATAATAGCTTCAAAGAATATTTGTTTAAACTGAATTGTAGTTAAAGGGACTCTGTCACGATACAAGGCAGACATCACGACATCTGTTTTGCTTTCCTAAACTATTACTTATGCATACCCCCCCCCCCCCCCCCCCCCATCTTTAAATCTAATAAAACCTAAAAATAAATAAATCAACCAGCAACTAATAAATATGTCAGGGTTGCAAAATTTAGTCGGTTCTTATTTCATTAAGACTATCAGAAATGAGAACTAGGTACTTTAATACCAGCATTCTTTCATTCACCCACTAAATAACATTTGTTCATATTTTGTCGTGTAGTTTTTATGCATCATTTTTTTACATTTTTATCTACTGATTTTAACAAAATTTGGACTCACGTTTAAAAAAAATTAATGGAAAGAAATATTAATAGTTGCTTATCAACAGAGAATCTATGGAAATGTACGCAGCGAACTTCATCTTACTTGACACTCCTCAAATAGTGAAAGTCAAACATAAAGAATTTACATTCTTTGTGTCTTTGTTGCAGTAACAGGAACGCCTCATTGAAAAAAAAAGTCGTCGATATCAATCAAAAACGCAAAAACAAAGTAAAAAACGTTTACAATTTCATGTTCATTGTATGATTTTATCATAGTATCGTTTTCATAACAGTGTGGACGAGACCATTTTTTTGGTGCGCTCAAGTCTCCAATTGACTGGGGTAAATTAGGTGAACGTTCGTCTCTAACGCCCACTTATCACGTCGTTTTTATTATAGACATTTAAACTGTGGGGTCACCAAAGGTTCTCAACGCCTGACTCAAATAATTCGAAAAACTAGCACAGGAATAACCTTTGTGTTTTGATTAATTTTGAATACTTAAACGTTCTTTTATGTTTTGATCACCAATTTCATTTTATGTATCGAAATGTCTAACAAGTGTTTATCTAAATCCCCACTGGAGGGCCTCTGTCAGACTGCGTGAGCGTAAAATCATTGTTATCGATAGCCGACGACAAACAAGTTAAGGGTAAATGATTCAGTAGTATTAACAACAAAAGTACTACGGTTGACCACACTATTACGGGAATACCTCTATTTGGCGACTGAAAATTGATCGTTAATTTCAACAGTGGGCTTTCAGGTCAGGTCACATAAAAGTTCTTGTTTTAGCAATGCTGAAAATTTGAGGTCAAACATAGAGCAAACTTTTTGTTGGTGATATATCCTAGAGGTCAGTAAAACAATCCAGCTTTGTAATTCCATGTATAAAGATGAATTACGAGGATACTGGATAAGGTGTTTATCAAGTTTGCATTGGTCAGTGTGTCTCTTATAAGAAAAGGCTCTAAATGACTTTCAGAGGGGCAGAGTTGTTGAAAAATTAAATAAATGACTCAAAATTAAGTGCATTGTAGTAGATATTTTCAAAATACGAATGCGCAAAAGTCCATTATTCATACTTAATACATTCATATTCCTTTTCAGTTAGACTATGTACAAAGGCCATCATGGCAGGCTCAGATTTCTGGTAAGAAGACGTGGACTTTGGTGCCAACACCAGAATGTGAGGATATATGTCATACAATGAATGTCACAGTTCATAAAGGAGACATCTGTGAGTATAGATATTTCAAACAAACGCGTACGAACATTTCATATATATTATATATACTTTTTAGGTTTACAATATGATTTTCATATGATTTTGACAATGTTACGGATACAACTTCGATCTTCTCTGTTTACATATTACGCTCCAATACCCATCAAACAGAAATTGTAAAAATTATAAAAACAACTTTTTTTTATTTTGAGAATTTTGTGTTGATGACAGATCTTTTATTATGGTTACACTTATTTTCGTAATGTAAAAACCATCACGACAAACTTATTACTTCTTGGTTTTACAGACTTGATAAAGATTTTTAAATATTACTTTAAAAAATAGGTTATTAGAAATAATATCTAAAACTTTTTGAAAATTGTGAAGTTACAAAAATACAACTACATTATTGCTAAATTTATTGCTAATTTTAGCAAGAACAAGTTTTGAATAATTTTATACAAAGAAGTATACCCGAAGACGAAATTACAAATTCCTATGACCGATTAGTTGATTTTCAAGTCATTTAGAGAAGCAAGATTGCCATAAACTTATGAAGACCGAGAGGCACAGTATAATGCACATTATACTTCAAGCAATTGTGGTGTAAATATGCGTATATAGTGTTATACATAAGAAGATGTGGTATAAGTGCCAATGAGATTACTCTCCATCCAAGTCACAATGTGTAAAAAGTAAACAATTATAGGTTAAAGTACGGCCTTCACGAACAGCAACCTATAAAGGGCCCCAAAATGACTAGTGTAAAACAATTCAAACAGGAAAACCAACAGTCTAATCAATATAAAAAACGAGAAACAAGAAACACTTATGAACCACATCAACAAACGACAACCACTGAACAACAGGCTCCTGACTTAGGACAGGTGCATACAAATGCAGCGGGTTTAAACGTTTCAACACATTTAATACGATTGTTTCTTTCTTTTTCAGTTGTGGTAGACACCAATCAATGGTACCATTCAACCTTCATTCATCCTGGAGAAGTGAGCATAACAATTGGATCTGAATATGACTGACGTGTCTTCTCAGTATAAAACCGTGCTTCTTTCATTCGAACTTATTCTAATTCTAATACCACATGAATACTAAAAGCTATAATTAATGGAGAAAAAAATTGTGAGGAATATTGACATTATCTTTTTATATTGCAAAAAGACATAATAGCTTGAATGAACATTTGTTACTAGTGCTCTTCGACCTGTGCTTTTGAGTAAGAATACTATACCTGCGTACCTGTTTCGGAAGCAGCATCCATTTAAGTTGATACTAAAAATGATCTTCTATTTCAATTATGAATCTGATGGAAATTTATATAAATAATATTATAAATATAATTTATATATATATATATTTACAATGTGAACCATTTTTAAAATTGTTCATTAAATTTATTTTCTGTATGAAATTCTATATTTTTTGTGCTTTTCGACAGCTAGATCGTATTTTCTGTACTTTTCCAATTATTGCAGAATAAAACTTCTTGGAACTTACAGCGACCAATTTGAAGAATAAAAAGTTTGAAAGACTAATAATACTAGACTCCATTCCAACCCCCTCCCAAATCAATTAAACAAATATTTAAAACAAGTTGATGGCAACATGGAGCTGAACAATGACTTCACATTTGAATTCTTTCGTAGCTTGACCAAAAACTTTAACCTGAAGCGGGACAGACGGACGAACGGAAGGACGGACGGACGGACGAACGAACGAACGAACGAACGAACGAACGGACGGACGGACGCACAGACCGAAACACATAATGCCCCTCTACTATCGTAGGTGGGGCACAAAAACGTCGTAACTAGATGCAAGTTTCCATTGGCATGGGGATACTTAAAGGAATAATCACCAAAAGGTCATAAGACACATACAGCGTGTGATATTATAAAGCAGAATCTAAATACCATATATTTCATACCATAGATATAAGAAGATGTGGTATGAGTGCCAATGAGACAACTCTCCATCCAAGTCACAATTTGAAAAAAAATAAACTATTATAGGTCAAAGTACGGCCTTCAAGACGGAGCCTTGGCTCACACCGAACAGCAACCTACAAAGGGCCCCAAAAATGACTCGTGTAAAACCATTCAAACAGGAAAACCAACGGTCTAATCTATATAAAAAAACGAGAAACGAGAAACACTTATGAACTACATCAACAAACGACAACCACTGAACATCAGGCAATCTTCATAGATCACTTACTAATACAGTCTGTATTTTATGGTGTATATAAAATAAGATGTTATTTTACAACAATCAGATACAGGAGCGAATCCAGCCATTTTTAAAAGGGGGGTTCCAACCCAGGATAAAGGGGGGTTGGGGTTCTAAACATATGTCCCCATTCAAAAGCATTGATCGTCAAAAAAGAGGGGTTCCAACCCCCAGAACCCCCCCCCCCCCTTTTGAATCCGCCACTGAGATACTTTTCTTAACATAGTTGAATATAGGTTTTTGATTATATCTCATAGAGTAAACAAGTAAAAGACGATAAGTAACAGGAAATTTAAAGTCATTCACATTTCGAATTTTGTCATTAAAGACAGATATGACATATGAAACCAACACCTTCGACTTTCCGAGCTTCATCTAGCAAACCTTGCATAAAACGGCATGCATTTATCATGAAAATAATGTTTGCCTTTGTTACATTGGACCTATTCCGAGTTTTCTACCCTTTTGTTTTCTTGCAAATAAAACATGGTTTAATTAACTTGTAAAATTGAGAATGGAAATGGGGCATGTGTCAAAGACAACAACCCAACCAAAGAGCAGAAAACAGCCCAAGGCCACCAATTGGTCCTCACCACAGCGAGAAAATCCCGCACCAGGAGGCGGGCTTCAGCTTGCCCCTAAACAAAAATGTGTACTAGTTCAATAAAACTGGACGTCACACTAAACTCCAAAACATATAAATGAACTAAAATTAAAAAACATACAAGACTAACAAAGGCCAGAGGCTCCTGACTTGGGACAGGCGCAAAAATGCGGCGGGGTTAAACATGTTTTGTGAGATCCCAACCCTCCCCTATACCTCTAGCCAATGTCTATGACCATTTGATCGTAAAAACTTATAGAAGTAAGGTCATAAATATTTAATTATCTATGTATAATACCAAAACACACTTTATTGATAATATTTATAAAACTTCAACCGAAAATCAATCTGTACGGTAATTACCCGACTGTACGAAATTACCCAGCTCGACTCTTAACAATAATATTTAGAATGGTTTTAATTTACTGATGACAAAATCAATATATCTACCGCCTTACTTGCAGAAAATATTTCAGGAGTTAAATTTCTATTTAATCTTGCAATACACCATTAATCTAATATTGATAAAATTACTAATTTCGTGAGTTTTTTTTTGTATTAGTATCATTAACAAATCATTTGAATACTTTTACCAATTCCAAAAATTTCCAACAGATAAACATAACACTTTTAAATAATAATTTATTGATGTTAAAAAATATCTCATAAATACAACTTGTTGAGACCCGATACCAGTAAATTTGTGTTCTAAATTCAGGAACTTCGTCGATAGTTCCCTTTGTTTATTTTGAATGCTTTAGCAAATAAAGGGTTTTAATTTTAGGGCAGATTCGTGGAAATTTCGATCACAACTTGACTACAGTGGGTGCGATTTAAAATGACTGTCTCGTGAATTGTTACAGGCCGTAATCTGTCTTCTAATCGCGCACTCATGTATGGCCACATCTCATTTCGACAATCCTTGTGGTATGTGCACATGCACATCATATGTAGATTCTTGACGTTTATTGCTAATCAGAAGGAATTAAAATAATCACGTTTGTCTTTTTGTGATTTAATAGCCTTTGGTGACTACATTTTATAAAGATATGAAGTCAACCCTCGATCTCTAGCTCATTTGGGATAGATAAGATGTATATAATTTCAATCAAGAAAGTATACATTACATTTTAACAGCAGATGGTACAAGATTCACATATTTAATTCTGCTTTATATACACAATCTGTGTACAAAGTCTGTTGATAGTTGAACAATCTGTTCACCGAGTTCAACAAAGACTTTTCCGATTAAAAAAAACGGTATATCATACATCCCTCAAGGTTATTTCTTTTGGCTATGTATTTTATTATGTTTAATATAGTTTTAACTAGATGCTATCCTAAAATGTATAAACAAAGAAACGTTGCTAAAAATTCGATCACAGTTCATTTAATTTCTCGTTTATCACGACTTAGTGTAATGGTTTTCTATAATAATAAATCAGTTTTCTACACTACCTCTGAGTTTCATTTGGTCAATACTTACAGTAATAGAAGACATTTGAAATATGATATTTTTTGTTTAATAGGAAAGCGGAATCAAATTGATATCACATGGTTTCAAGTTAGTGGAATTCGTGAAAATCATATTGGTATCTTGCCTTGAAAAAAAAATAGTGATAGTGAATTTCAAAGAACACCAACAAAGTTATATTATAAAAGATGATTATTTTTATATTGATCAAAGCCGATTACTTCTGTAATTACTAGTTTGTTTGAAATCATTAGCTTTTGCAGGTGAAATGTATTAGGTTCACTGCAAGGGTAAACAATGTCATATCGTTTTCAAAATAAACTGTCTATCATACTGCTTTATAGTAATCATCAGTAATATCCTGGACCGATGAGAAGTCTAAATCAAGTAATGTATCATCTGTAATCTTGGTGGCGAAATGGCGATACGTTGAATTACGAGTGGGTTTATACTTTGCACGACAAAGCGTGCTAACTTTCAAAATAAGAAGATGTGGTATGATTGCCAATGAGACAATTCTCCATAAGAGAACAAATGACACAGAAATTAACAACTATAGGTCACCGTACGAATATGATATACAGCAACAAACGACAACCTCTGAATTGCAGGCTCCTGACTTGGGACAGGTACATACAGAATGTGGCGGGGTTAAACATGTTAGCGGGCGCCCAACCCTCCCCAACCTGGGACAGTGGTATAACAGTATAACATATGAACAAACTATAAAAATCAGTTGAAAAGTGCTTCATCAGATCGATACAAAGCACTTGTTTGTTCATCCTTTTATGTAATTGAGAGTAACTTATCAAATGAATTCTTCAAGTGTAAATCAATGATTTCCACTAGCGAATTAATGTTCTTCTCTACACCACAGGTGTGCCCTGAAAAAAAAACCCCAAACAGTATTAATTTTATTGTATTGCTCTTATTAAGTCATGAGGATATATTTCAATTAAAATGGACAAACGATTCTGCGTGTTCACATAACATTAGCACGGGTGAAAAATAATCTATTATTTTGTCATTTTTGGTTTGATCACCTTTTCAACGTTTGTAGAAGTTTTTTTTTCAAATATTTGGCCTCGAGTATCACTGAATAGAAATTTATTGTCAAAATGCGCATCTGGTGCAGTAAAATTGATACGTTTAAACTAAATGTTATTTAAAAAATAATTTCCTTAAGACTTCTTATATGTGTATATTATAAATAAACTCAGCATAGATACCTGGCTTGAAATTTTGTGCGCCAGACGCGCTTTTCGTCTACTCTGAAAGGACTCATCAGTGATGCTCGAATAAAAAAATAAAAAAGGTCAAATAAAGAAGGAAGTTGAAGAGTATTGAGGCCCCAAAATTAACAAATGTTCCGGCAAATACAGCTAAGGTAATGTATACCTGGAGTAGGAAATCCTTAGTATTTCGAAAAATTCAAGGTTTTTTTTCTAAACAGTTGATTTATAATTGTGACCATACCAATGACAATTTAAGAGACAAGAAGCGTTTACATTTGTTAAGTACTTGAGTTCAGTGTAGATTTTGATGGGTTTGTTGTTGGTCCGGTCACGTTCACTGTCCTGTATCTCACATCGCTTGCGTGCCTAGAAATACCTGCTGGCTTTCAACCCTTCCCAATTCAAATTCACATTGTTAATATGCTTTCTCCGTGTGTGCGCATACTTATACATCTATGCGTTAAATATTTATCAATGCACATTTATGTAATATGAATAGCCAGTTACGACGAATTAAGTATATATTTAATGACCAAACGGGTCTTCACTGGCTTCGTTTCCCCTTCTTAATAAATTTACGTCATACACTCTAGCTATTGGTTGGTGTTCACCATTAGCAGAGGTGGATTTTTTTGTTGTTTTTTGCGAATTTCCAAAAAAGAGGAAAGGGTGAGCACCCAGATAGTTTCACTGGCAATTTGGTAAAGGTAGCCAGCGACTTCCAAGAGTTTTGCGGAACTAAGAAAATCATTGCCTAAAACTTAAAAAAAAAACAAGTATATAGTATTGTTGTTTCTTACATTGCCTGTATGAGTCGACACTATACGACAAGAGTTTTTGAAAGTAATGAATCATTTTCTTAATATTTT